CTAATATGTAATGTGAAGCTAGTACCTTATTCATACAATACCATTTTAAAGTGTATCTGAGATAACATAAAAATCTTAGCGTCATGCTTGTCACATAAATGTTCAATAAATGACAGCCTAAAGCAGTGGGTTTTTCAACCTTTTTTGTTTGTTTGTTTCATAGCACACTTGGACCTATAGTTAAACTTTTGCAGCACACTTAAATTATGTTGATGCAAAAAGAGAAATATACGTAGGGAGCTCAGAACTTCTTTCAAAGATAATTTAATTAATGATATTTAAAATTTTTCAGAGCACACCAGTTGAAAATGACTGGCCTAAAGAAATGGTATGAAAGATCTGGGTCCTATGGCAATATTATTACAGCATGTGGCTTCTGGGTTGGTTTGGGAAGAGATTGCTTTAATATTGCATTATCTACTTGGAATTCCACTATATTTAAGCAGAGCAAAGATTTAATATTTTTCTTTTTGAACACTAAACAAAACGTTTAGTTCTTCAGAATAGGTATATCTGACCTTTCTATAGTATTTCCTATTTCATTGACCACAGTTAAAAGTGACTGCTTTGATGTTATGTATCTTAATCAGCACTTAGCTAACTCAAATGAATAAATTATCTTTTTATCTAATAGTATAGATTTGTTAAGGTTGAAACATCAGTAATTTGCACATTTTAAACTATATGCACACACATTGTAGGTTGCTGGAGTTCTGGATGATTGCTTGTGTGATATTGACAGCATCGATAACTTCAATACCTTCAAAATCTTCCCCAAAATAAAAAAATTGCAAGAGCGAGACTATTTCCGTTATTACAAGGTAAGGTTATAATTTTTTATTCTGTTGAGACCAAAGATTTCTGTATAGCTATCTACAGATGGGACTTCATGACTCTTTAGAAACCCCATTTTAGCGTCTCTTAGCACAGTATGTGTACATCTATCTTTTATCATTTGAATGTATTAAGTATCGTAATGAAAATCTGTCAGTCTTTTTAAGCACTGAGAATCTGAACTCCCTCCCTACATCAGGAGAATTCCTCAGTGGGTTTTGAGACAGAGACTCTCCCTGTAATAGAAGCCCCAAATGCCAGGGACTTATTCTGTCAGCCTTATAATGTAGGTTCTGCCATCTAAACACACCAGGCTTTGAGTTGTGTCGATGGCAGTGTGCTAGCGTTGTTAGCAGTACAAGTCCCCCAGCAGCAGACGTTTGTTGAGTAGCTCTTTGAGAGGCTGGCAAACCAGGCTGAGGCTGCACGTAGAATATCACCTATAGTGGCAGAATTGGTTCTTAAATCTAAATGTTGTAATTGTCTACTCTAGACCTTTACAAGATGATCACTGTTTAAAGGTAGCACCAGTCTTTAAATATGACAATAAGGCAATATTCAAAATAACAATATTTCAGATCTTAGAACATCTTTTTTTTTTTTCTAGTTTTTGGCTGGGGTTGGGTTTGAACCAGCCACCTCCAGCCTATGGGACTGGCACCCTATCCTTTTGAGCCAGAGGCACCACCCAAATTTTAGGACATCTTAAAAGCTGTTTTGCCTATGTTTTTGTTCTCAGGATTCAACTGGTTTATAATTTTGTTGATTTTAACTTTTACTTGTAAAAATCGAGCATCATTTTCTTTTATCCTGATTCTGTACAGGCTATCTTAGCTCTTTAAATAATTTTGCAGAGAAAAAAAATCCAGCACCTTAGCAGTTTTAAGTTGTGCAGAAAGATAACAATTTAGAGAATTAAAGATTTGAGAACCTATCCCCTTTGCCATGTGAACCAAGAATATTCAAAAGAGGTGAATGTTTCTTCTCTATACAATATCCTTTAGGAATGCATATTTCATGAATTTCTTTCAAAGAGTAATCTTGTACCTTAACTACTGAATGTCTGTTAGGCATTTTACATAGAAATAAGATGAATGCTTTTTTAAATTCCTATCACTAAATCTATAAATCTGTATGTATTTGTACATATTCTTTCTATAAATCTATGTATTTGTACATATTCTTTCTCCTACTTCCTTTCTACTATTGGTTTGAACCATATGAAATTGTTACTTTTATATTTAAAAAATGGTTGAATATGCCATTTTCATATGCAACAGAGGAAGCATTTCTTCTATCAAAGACTATCCCTTCACAGCAGGTCCAGGTCACATCTCCATTCGGTATTCCACGGCCCCACTCTTTCACATCTTCCTTTTGGGATGTGCCTTTTATTTCTGTATCCTTACAAGGCCTAGTAAAGAGAGAGATTGCTTGAATGAGATATTTGCATGAGGGTGACACCTGTAGCTCAGTGGGTAGAGAGCCAGCCACATATGCTGAGGCTAACTGCTTAAAACCCAGCTGGGCCTGCTTAAACAACAATGACAACTACAACAAAAAAATAGCTGGGCATTGTGGCAGGCTCCTGTAGTC